GGCCTGGGGGACCGATTTCAGCCTCTTAATGATGGCGGAGCCAGAAAGATGGATTTACTGTGGTGGGGAGGGATGAGGGTGGACCTGTTTTCACTGCAAACACACAAACACACACATATAAACACTCAGAGGGAAAGATGGTAAGCAGGACTGTTGAATTGTTTAAACTAAATCATCATGCTCTGCATTTCTTCTTTCATTCTGTCAATACACAAACAAAAAGACAAACACAAAAAGACACACACACACACACACTTGAACATAATTGTATGTGTCAAGTGAGAGAAAAAAGATTCACTAGTGATACTGTTACACACTCCCGAAGAGGCACTTCTGCTGGAAAAGGTTTGAACCACCACTTGCTATCTGAACAGCATCACTTAGTTGCCTTGACAACCATCCACACCCCATCTACCAAGATAGCCATCCCAGCAGTCGCACATTTACACACACACGAACAACATGTCGAGCGTCTGCCATTATTCTCGATGTATTTACTGGATTATCATTCACTTGCAGCAAGATAAAACTAAATAAGATGTAAGAAATGAAAGTGTGTGTGTGTATATGTGCTTTTATATTTTTATTATAACTCTGTCTCATTTTTATGCGCAGCACAACACTCCATTTGCTCCATTATTAACTCGAAACATCATCATCAAACAAGCATCATCACGTCGACCACCTTCTAGTGCTTAAAAATAAAATACTGTCTTAATATTAAACAGCAAAGACAAGTCTCTCTGCAGCAAATCCATGTAAATCTGGTATTTTGCATTTGCAGCCTTTTGTCCCTCCACATTCTAATCTTCTGATTGCTCATAAACAAATGTTGTCACCATATTTAAACACTCTCCTTCGCAAAGCTGTCCACTATATGACATATGTGTTCATCTTAGTTCATGCATTTACTTTAATCTCTTGCACCAGCCTTGAATATCAACAAACATGAACAGAATTGTGGATTACAGGCTGCAGCAGGTCAGCTGTTTTCAGAAAAGCCTTGTTTTTGGAAAACTCATTCAATCTGATCATGGCAGGATTTGCAGGACGCTTGGACATTTTGAATCAATTTTTTTTTATTTTTCACTGCAACTGACTGTATGTTTGAGGAGCAATATTTCTATCAAACCATGTTTATACTGTCAAAGTAGGAGTTAAATATGATGAAAAATCTACGTCTTGTGACATTATGTATTGATTTTTCCCCTCCCTGCTCTCCTCCCATTCGTCTGCCTGCCTGTCAGCCCGCTACACACACGCACACACAGACACACGCACACACGCAGAGACACAGGCACAGCAGCAGCACAGCGTGTCGTACGGTGTGGGCTGCTGACATTTCATCTCAAGCAATCTGCCAGTCAGAGTTGGACCCACTCACTCACTCACTCACTCACTCACTCACTCACACACACACACACACTAATTACACAATCATCATATATGCAAATCTTGTTGCTGAATGAGGGATTTTTTTTTTCCTCCTTTAACCGGGTTTACTCGATCAGGCACACGTGTACGCTGGATTCACATTATATAATGCTTCATATCCTGCTCTGACGTTCTTCCATTTAGTTATCCATGTGTGCGATGAATCAACACACTGCCTCGGTTTAACGTTGCACGCAGGTGCGGCCTGTTACATAACAATCTAATCATCGTGTAATTAACAGCTGCGATGTAATAGCTTTCCTATTTCTGCAGAATGCAGCAAAACTACAGAACCGATTTTATTGAAACTTGATGGAAAGATCGTACAGGCCAAGAAAAAAAGCTGCAAAACTTTTGTTGTTTAGATTTGGATCTTGATGAGAGAAATCTGATATATTTAGGGAACTGATATCTATGAATGTGTGCAACTTGGTGCAGCTTGCTTGAATTTAATGGAAGTGTTGGTCTTAGGGCAGTGATGTGCACTCTACTGGCTGCCACTCCAGTGCATGTGTCTTTCTGACCTGCCTTATAAATCTAAAATAAATGTAATAATCCCTCTCTATAATGCCTTCTTACATTTCCCAGATAGCTTTTCAGCAATAACACTGAGAAAAAAACTGCCTGAACCTGCAGCACTGAGCTGCAGCTTTTTTACTTGATGGAGGAAACATGAAATACAAACATTTCCTTTAATGAAATAAAGTATGGCCTTGCTGTTTCAGTGATAAAGTTGTAAAACTGCTGAACACTTTAACCCTTAATTCACGCTGCTGTAAAGTCAGAGGGAATGATCAGAAACTACAACGTGAAGGTAATCCCATACACTTCATCTTTATGTAAATGTTAAAGAGGGATTTTGTGGTTGTCATTATTTAATCTACATCCGCTTGTCATGTGGGATTAAGATATTTAATAGGGTTAACAGAAAGTTCAATCACTAAAAGTACTTCATTCAGTCTCCGAGGTGCTTTCATTCATCATTACCTCGCAGCCACACCTCTCTCCATTCGTACTTTCAAATCCAAGAACAAAAAGGAGAACTAAAGATGCTGGTTCATTTCATAATATTGGAATAAAGTCAAATCTACCTCACCTCTCGTAAAAAAAAATAAATATTAGTACTACTTTTTATTTTGAGCAACATATGTACCATAATGTTCAGGTGCAATTCAGGTCGATACCTTTTCTAAACAGGATGTTGTTTTAAAAAAGTCGGGGAATCAGAAGACTCCAGTGCCAAAATTCTAAATTTAGAATGAGTGTGTGTGAATGTCTACACGCGGCAGGTGTTGAGGTAACCATGGCAATCAGATGGCAGGAGTGGCGAAGGATGTTTTTTTGATGTACTCCGGTGAGGGAAGAAATATATTATCGCTTCCTGTATGTCTTGTTGTTTTGATTCTGTGCTGCACAAACTGGAAACACTCTCTGCAGGAACTATTTGTTCCTGCTGAATGGACACTTTTAGTGAGACAGCATCTGCATGACACCTCATCAGTGTGTCTGTGTGTGTGTGTGTGTGCATGTGTGTGTTTTCCCTCGAGTGTCGCTAAGAGCAGTAATGATGAAACTGCTGTGTGTGTGTGTGCCGCTTATAGTTTGACGCACAATGTGTGTGTGTGTGTGTGTGTGTGTGTGTGTGTGTGTGTGTGTGTGTGTGTGTGTGTGCAACATCGCCTAAGGGAAGCCAGAGTTTCACACCATCATTATCTCTAGTCACCGGAGCTGCAAGTTCCCGAGAAGTGGGCCAACTTCATCTTTAATGAACCTGCGCAGAGAGAAGCGGAGGGAAAGAAGGTGAATGCGAAAAGAACGTTGAAAATCAAATGATTGGAAGGTGAAAATCTAATGAATGTGTGAGATAATGTATGAAAAAAAGGCCTCTAGCTTAATGAGATTCTTAAACGACTTAATCACCGTCATCTGCAATGTTCGGCTACACGGTATCAACATCGCTGGTTTTCCTTTCCCCAAGAAAAGACTGAGCCAAAAATATCCCAGCCGAATGTTTGCCGTGTTAAATCGAATATCAGGGTACATTGTCCACTTTGCTGATATATCCACAGACATAATTCCTTCCACTTACAGAAAATCTTACTAAGACTGTCTTCCTCCCTCTGCACAGGATCTAAATTAGATTTCTTACGGCTCAAACTTGATTCTCATGGCAGAATCCAAAGATCTGGATAAACTACCAGCAGCAGCTAATCAATTTCTCCTTGGCTCGGTCTCCACCCGTCCACCAGCAAATTTCCCCCAAAAGATTTTAGACATGCTGTTGGAGACGGTAGTGGATGAGGACGCAGCAGCTCCTGTTGTCATGTGTCTAGTTTAAGCGTCAGAGGAATTAACATCTTCACATGCTGAAGCTTCTGCTTTTAATCTATGTGTGTTTCTTGGGTAAAGTTTGCATTCACCGCTTCTACAGTTGTCACTTCGAAGACAAACATCCTCGCATGAACCGAGCCGCAGTCTCTCCATTATTCAGGATCTCTGTCACAACAATAAAAATTTGTATTGATATTAACGTAGCCTGTATATATCTCATTAATTTTTTATGATTCAATTATGTAAAAACCCGCCACAAAGCGCGAAAGATCACAACAGCTCCAGTAAAGATTCCGGCTGTCAGCAAGAAACACTGACGAATAATGTAGCGGAACTTAATGTCAGACAAAATCTTGATAAAGTTGCAGAAATTCTCAGTGATTACTGTTCAGTAGTAACAATTACAACTCTTTATGAATGGCTTGGCTTTTCTTAGTGTTCGGGACAACTCGAGTGGGGGAAAAAAACGCCCTCTGCAAGACGGGATGATGGCAGAGCCGGTGTGACTCGGTAACTTTTCACTCAGGAAAGGAAAAAGAAAAAAAAGTAACTTTTCAAAGTGCAAGTGTGAAGAGTGAGTTTCTCCCTCTCAGAGGTCACACACACACACACACACACACACACACACACACACACACACACACACACACACACACACACACACACNACACACACACACACACACACACACACACACACTCAAATTGGTTGCAGAGGTAACAGCAGCTCCAGCATCAGGATGTGCAGCCTCATCTATAGCTGATCACTGTTTTCAAAATTTTCAAAATGCAAAAAATCTAACATTTACATGTTGCGGAATCTTGCAGTTGTGTTATTTTCCCTCGTTAAAAGTTTTTCTCCCTCTTGTCGAGGTTTAAGGACAGAGGATGTCGCACCTAGAACAGATTCTTAATCCCCATTTGAATATGGGCTATAGAAATAAAATCCAATTTTAATTAATAGTATTTTTGTGTTTTTAAATTGAAGTGTCCACAGCCCCGCTGGAGGAAGGAGTAGCACAGATTGGCTGAAAACCATGAGTTAACCATGACCTACCTCGTCAGACAGACTTTAGTTCCTCTCGTTACAATCTGCTATTAAACCTAATTATTTTCAAAAGTCAAGAATGTTGATGGTTCTTATTTTCAAATTCTTTTCTCTTTTAAAAAAAAAAATCCCAATTATTTGTTCTGGCGTTTGTTGAAAACTATAATAGTTGCAAATAATTTTCATACCTTCAGTATGAGCATTTCTTCCATAAGTCACGACTGGTCCCTCTGCTTGTGTTAAATCTGTTAAGCCTCCATCCTGTCACTGGAACATAAAGAAACATGTTTTTGTCTCATCCACATTAGATTGTGCAAAGTCAGAGTATTGGAAATAAATCGACTTTTAATGGAATTCAAATTTGTTAGTAGAAACACACACATGCAGTCCTTGACTCCGTGTATTTAGAGGATATTACATTGACTTAAAAATGCCTTAACATTAACTAAAACTTGGCTAATCCTAACAATTAACCTCAACCTTTACCTAACAGAACAGAACCGTATGTCCCCCTTAGGAAAATTAGTCTTCATAATGTGATATATTGGTCCCCACAACATGTGTAACACCTAGGTTCCCAAACCACCCATCCACACCGACACACCACACACACACACAACCCTTCCCTGAAGTATCCTCTCCCTTTTTCACACACTCGTTAGAAAACCTGCCACTAATTAGGGACATCAGTTAATTAAGGTCAACTAAACACATCGAGCTTCACAATGAGCAGCTGTGCCAGAGCGAGCGAGCGAGCGTGTGTGTGTGTGTGTGTGTGTGTGTGTGCCGCTTGCGAGCTCATGATTGACATTTGGCGAGGGAAGAGCAAGCCGACCAGAGGCACGCCGACATTACTTCTTCTTTCCAAAACTGCCATATTGACACAGGTATCATTAACTTAAAAGCTTTCAAATGACTAAAAGTTCATCTGGTGACATCAACAAAAAAATGGAATTCTCCTCCCTTTCAAAGGAAACGGTGAACCAGAGCGAGAACGAGAGAGGGAGTGAGAGAGTGAAAGCGTCAAGAGGAGACATATCAGCCGAATTAACGGGTCAGCATGTACGGCAGATGGTTGCCAGCGGCGACCCAGTGATGTGACGGCATCTCCTGCTCCCCTCACATCTGTCATGACATCCATCAGAGTGTGTGTGTGTGTGTGTGTGTGTGTGTGTGTGTGTGGTTTGCATCTACATCTGTTGCTAGGGCGCTTTTGTAGATTACGTGACGTCCAGTGACAACACTTCACATTATTCACAGAACTGGCATTAAATGTCAGTTAACTGTCATCAGTGCAGTGGGTCTATTTACAGCGGCGTTAAGTGTAGGGCTACACGCAGAAGGAAAGATTACGAACATGCATATTGTGTAAATACATCTTGATTCACAGCTCTTGAAGCCAGATGTGTAGATTGGAATCTTTAGATTTCTATAGTAAATCAATACCAGCTTAATAAAGCACAACATGTGGGAAGTATAGATGCATGGATTCCAGTGAAGCTTCAGCTTGTGCACAGTGAATTATCAAGCTTAAACAAACTGAATGCCTGACATGCAATTATCACAGATGTTCACTGATGACATTAATTACATTGTAGTATTGCAATTAGTGAATATCCGAGGTTGTTCTACTTTACCTGAATATTACTTTTTTTAATACTACTTCATACTCCTACTTCATATTTCACAGGGAAGTATTGCACATCTGAAACTACTAGTTAATTTTAAAAAACTACAGTAAATTCATCTTATTTAAATAAGTGTAGTACTTTAATTTGAGTACATTTCCAGTGAAAAAAATAATACAGTGCTGCTTTGTTTTCGAAGACGCAGCTACTATTTGATTGATAAACCTTGTGAGAAGCTACCAACAATTTCTTGAACTATTGCAACTAGGTTGTCGAACTCTGACTGGACACAACGCACAAAATGAGACTATAAATAAAAGAAGCACCTGAGGATGTACTGCAAACTTGATCCACACATTTCTTCAAATTGCTAAAGAGAAGATATAGTGATCCTCTGCCTCACCGGAGCTGCTTCTCCACATCTGCTTCTGATCATTACAACTAATGAAATATTTATCCACTGCATCATCTGACTCTCATAATTAAAACTAAGACAATATAGAGCGACTTAAAGGCCAAATCCAGGATCAGAGTGCTGCAGAAACATAAAATACAGGTTAGAGTTAACACACGATACACACACGGAGGGTTCAGAGTGAACGCTGGTGGAGGCTCTGAGATCTTAACCCCGCTGCTGCGAGCTCCATCTTCGAGAGCAACTTTTGATTAAAGGTAAACAAGGAACAGAATCCTCTGATCAATGCGCACGGGTTCATGGTGAAATCGATTTTTTTAAACAAACATCATCGTAGCTTAAACCCAGAGAGTGGAACATTTGAACTGATGCACAGGAAGGCAGTTTGAGACTGGAATATGAGAAGTGCTGGTTGTAGATGGACAAAGATCACATTTGATATCCATGACAGTGATATGTCCTGTCTCAGCATCTTAGGGCAAAATAAAATATCTTGCTGCTGCTGCTCGTATTATTCAGTTTCTAGAACTGATTTTAAGCGTTTTAATATTTATCAAATGTTCGATCCATTGTCTCCTGTATGAACTTGTTTGAACGTGTAATTGCACTATGTTTCTATTTTTCTGTAAGTGAAGTGCTTTGTAAACATGTTTTTCTATATATCCTACATTAAATATATTATTATTGTTTTCTGCTGATCAAGATCATGTGATTCTAAAATATAGTTTACTCATGAGCGGCAGCAGCATGATGTGTTTTATTGACTCAAAATAATCTCGCATGTTCATAATGAAGACAAATGGCTTATCGCTGACGTCTTTAAAGAAACAGTTTGACATATTAGGTTTCTTGACTCCAGTGAGACGAGGACACAATTTTCAGGTATTTCAGTGCCACAGCTCTATTATTGACGATAGTAAACAATAACAAGCAGTGATACTAGCACTCCTCTATCTGCCTCACACACAGATGTTGTTTATATTAAACATTTAAGCCCTCCTCCTGTCCTTCCCAGAATCCTTTGTTGTTGCTCGCAGCATGCTCACAGGTTGCAGGGAGAGAGAGGAGGAGTTGAAGTGTCAGAGGTCAGCTGACAAAAATGTTGATACCTTCTTTTTCCTCTCCCCCCGCGCATCTCTCTCTCCACCACATCACCCCAGTTTTTCATCCTCTGTATATTCTCTTTCGGGGCACAGATCAAGTTTAGGATGGAGGGATGTGGTTCATGACCACGAGTGTGTACGTGCGCTGCGACACGCTTTTTCTGGTCTCTGGGGTCGAACACATCTCATTCTGGGACCAGAGCGACTCAATAAATTACCAATCTAAAATAGTAAAGCCAGACTTTCTCTCTTAATTAGATCTCAGTGACCAATGCTATTGAAGCTTTCAGTTCAATAAAGTTTGAATTCAGTGATGCGTCTTCTTTAAGAACAAAGGGTCACAGAAGTGCAATGCTGGGGAAATGATTATTTTTCTGACTTGATCATTGGACACTTGAAACAAATTAGACCCAGCAAAAGATTTTTTACACTAAATGGACTAAAATAAAAGATGAAAATCTAAATCCGGTCAGATCAGATACTTTCAAAGAGAAAGCACAAGGTAAAAATGACCTCAGGGAGGTCAGAGTCACGTGGCTTAAAGAACTAACCTTGTTGATCTATTCATTGTTTTTACTCAACAAAGTTTACCTTTACTTGAATTTTATATCAAGTCCAATGAGACCCCGGAATAAAAATAAATCTCTAGCACCACCTATTGGACAATATCATGAAAGCCAGTTAGACATACACACCTGCACTGGGCTTCTGTCAGTTCTTTAAATTCAGTGCCTTCACTCTAAGCACTGAACGTTTTGATTTCTAATTCAAATGTCTATTAGAATAAATGAATTCTTTAAAGGTCCAGTGTGTAAGATTTAGGTGAAAGGGATCTATTGGCAGTAATTTAATGTAGAATAATCCTCATGATGTTTTCACTAGTTCATTTCATCTAAATTGTATGAATTGTAGTTTTCTTTACCCCAGAAAAGGCCCTTTATATTCAAATACTTTATATTTACATCAAGGGCCTCTCTACGGAGGCCGCTGTGTTTTTTACATTAGTCCAGACTGAACAAACTAAACACCTTTTGAGTTTCTATGACAACTGAAGCTAACAGGTTATTTTTCATGTTTGGAAGGAGAGGGTGAGGTGAGAGGTGTTCAGCTGCAACATGCAGTTTCAACACTAGATATCTACACACTGTACCTTTAAAGACATATTCTGGGTATTTTTGCCTAATTTATTTTTATCCTTAAAAACACAGCATGAAGAGTCATGTTGTTGTACATTTTGGACTTCAAAACTCCACTATCCAGTTCTTACCTGCTACATATATGTAGTAGATATAGATATATTTAACTGCAATATAAAAGGGACATTTCTCCCATTTTTCACCTGAATCTCACCAAGATGGCCACCACATGGATAAAAGATACAGCAAATAACTTTTTAGCTCAAAGATATATGCTGATGGCGATCCCGACACCTCCACAAAGCTGGTGAGATGATGTCAGATAAATATGGGTTCTGTAAGTTCAGCTGATGTAAAAATCACAGCCTTGACATGAGAGATTCACCGGACTGGCTGCTCAACGTGAACCCCTCTGCAAACACTTTTTTTTTTTAAAGCTGTTATAGCAGAATAATCATGTTTAGATCCAGGCATATTTTCTCTATCCTTAGATTAATGAACCAGGGATCTGTTTACGGTGTTCAGCAAAGTGTATGAGGCTTGATCTACAAAGCAAGTGGTTTGGTCAAGAGAAGTGAAGAGACACTGATCAAACAAAAGAACAAACCCTTCCATAATTTCCAGGTTGTCCACTTAGCTTTTGATATTGAAACCCAGTCTGTGTACAAAGAGCGGCACTGTGCTTTTGATTATTCCTGGTGCACTCATTGTAACAGCTGCAGGGATGCCTGCGAGGATGAGAATGCCAGAGGTACCAGCAGCCTTAAATGGCGCCACGACCACGGTGTGAGTCCTCCAAATGCCTTTGTTATGCATTTGGCAAATTGTTGACCGACAGTAAATCATCTTTCGCAGACATGATTTGTTTGTCTTAAAAGATGACTCGAATGTTCCTTTCTCCTCGGACGTTTTAGAGTCTATCTAGGTATGCTTGAGATGGTGTGCCAAACGAATTAAGTCAGCAGCAGTCCACAGTAGGGATCGAGGATATGTGACCCGCACTGAAGGTCAAATATCTACAGCATGACGACAGTTTGCAAGCGTGTATCAGTGGCGCTTGCTGACCGAAACACTCCACTTGAGGAGATAGCCGAGAGGAGCAGTTGTCTGAGAATGCAGGAAACAAGTGTCAACACCGGATTCAAATCGAGAGGGAACAGTTAAATGCCTAAACTCAGACAGAGTCCAAGGAGTCCTGCATCATCCACAGAGTAATATAGACTTAATCTATAATCAGTTAAATCATGCAGCTCCATGTTAATGAACTGTTTCCTGGGAGTGAAGATTCCACTTACCAGATAATAATGGGTTAAAACACTCTTGACACTTGGGCAATCTTTATCTTATCAGTGTCCCATACATACCTGAGTCTCAGCTTATCCTGAGACAGACGCGTTTGCTTTATCATTGTATGTCAATGCACTAGTACAGCCATACACCGATATGATTAGAATTCTTATTTGCATTAATAACTGAATAAAAACGTCCTTATTTGTCTTTGTATTTTCTCGCACATTGGTTTGAAAAGTTATAAAAGGTAGTTACAAATACTTACAGTTTTACTTTATGTCATGCAGTTGCTAGTTTACGGTACTTAAAGTCTTGTGATGATAATTTGTGGAAGAAGACTGATTCAAATTACTTTTTTATGGAATAACTGTGGTGGATCTTAAGTCCTTAGGTCCCCTGGACAAAGTACTTTTTAAGTGTCTGCAATCATGGCGGCATGAGGTTTGTGTCTCTGTGGGTCCAATATGTTAATATACTATGTAAAATTAAAAAAAAAAGAATTGTCTGGTCACAAATACCATATATACCGATACTGGGAAGGAAAACTCTAAGTTAATGGGGTCTGTAAAGGCAAACTAGCCAAGGACTCAGGACAATGTGGTTCTCAAAGCTTTTGACTAAAGAAAGTACTTGTGGCCACATGTCACAGTTTCTCTAATAAGTTTAAATCAGTCTTAGAAAGGGCCAATTGACATTTTGTCATTTTGGAAATTGAAGACCAAGTAAAATGTAAGAGTATCAAGAGCTTTTTAAGAACCTAATGAGGAGGGAATAATAAGAAATTTGAATAAGTTACACTTCCTTGTTATTATAAAATAAAACTAATTTTAAAGTGCGGTGGAAGCAGCGTTAAATGAAAGTTATGAAAGATGTACCTTAATGTATTCAAGACCTTGTATGAAATATTTTCACCTATTTATCAAATTATTAAATCTTTGAAGCCCCTTGGAAACCCTGTGCATACCTAGTTGCCACTAAACATTTTCAAACAGCAGTTGAATATATTGTTTTCAGTTCAGTCCTGAAGATAAATCATTTTCTAATTCTGATGTGACACCGGTTTGACCCTATTCTTGGGTCAACGTGACTCATGACTGAAGGAGCTCCAGCAGGTGGGCCGTCCTTTCTCTCCTGAGGATTAACTCGGGATATCTATTGAGCTGTGGGATCCATCGCGGCCTCCCCGTCTATCTTTAGTGAACCTCCGCCTGTGAATGGACAGCCTAACTTTATCTGGCTCACTGTCATCGAAGCTGCTGGGTATTTTTAGGTGGTGGCTTGCAGTGGCAGCAGCTGTGAAAGCATTTAACGCCACCCGCCCCCCATTCCGACTCCCTCTCACTCTTTAGCTGTTGGGACAATGACAGTGTCAGAGCTGACGCATAATCCAAGCACTTGACTGAAGGACTGTGGTCATTTCCCTCCCTGCCACCGGCACCCGAGCGCCACACGGACCGGACACCACAAAGACGTGATACCTGTGACTATGGACCTGGGATTGTGAATGGAAGATCTAAATTTCCTCCCTCGCTTTGACTCGGAGTGACCAGGAGCTGTGTCCACATACAACAAACCAAACTTGAGAGACTAGAACAAGAGCTTCAGCCAATATCCACTATTTCAACGGGTCAAAGAATAATTCCAAGAAGAGCCAAAGGTCACATGACTTAAGTGAAGCCTGCCTGAACGTTCTCAGGACTTTATTTTGAAGTAAACACCACAATAGAGACACTATGATTTAAGGAGGCTGACCCACAGCAGCGGTAAGTTCCTTAAATCAGTGAAATCAGTTCTTAAAAGCTGCATTATGTTTATTTCCTCACCGTACATATCACACTGCCTCAGACATTCAGGCAAACCGCTTAAAGAGTCAGTTCCATGTCTTTGCTGATGATGAGACGTAAGAAATACCTCATATGCTACACAGAGAGCTATTTTTATGAACCACACATGAGCACATGACTTTGCAAGAGGATGCACATCAGATGCAAAAGCCTGGTGCGTCATACAGAAGGGACAACAGCAACGCATAACATGAGCTGCTCGAATCATGGACTGTAATAAGTGTCAGAGGAGTTTGACTCCGAATAACAAATGGGTTGTTGCTAAACTTGAAGACATCACGACAACAATACACAGAAACGGGAAAAAGGAGAATCCAACGGGAAGGATTCAGTTTGTGAGTTCAGATGTGTCACTGCAGTTTGTGTGCTGTGGGACACATGGACTCCGGTGTCTTTTTTTGGACAGACTACTTTATAAATACACTCTTCAATGACTTACAGCACCAGCTGTGAGACAACCGAGTGGTTTGCATTTGCTCAAAACTCACTTTACTAAACAGCTAAAGATGTTTACGTCGGTTTAGCTTTGCTCACTACACTGAGTATTTTCAAAAGCTGGAACGTTTCAGGCCAGTCTTCCTCGAATTGAATCATATTAGCCACATTCCCGATCGTGAAATGATTAAATATAAAGCACAGTCCAGATATTTATTTGATTTCTTCAGGTTTGGGTCAGTTGTAAACATAAATGTAAATGTGTGTAAACCAAAAAGATGAAGGAAAAATGTTGAAAGTGTTTTGCCATCTAAAAGATCCACAAAAGTTTCATATTTCTCTCTGAAACACAGATTTTCTCTTTCTCGCAGCTGCTTCATCACGGACAAGCTGATCTTTCCCCGGAAACCCCATCACAAAATACACTTCTGTACTCACACCAGAAACAAGGAGATATTATCATGGATATTTTTGGAGGTGCTCCTCGTGTTTTGGGCTACCCACGCCCTGTGGTCGCACAGTGTGGCACGGATACCACGCTGAGGTGCCAGATCGGAGGAGACCCTCGTCCTGACGTGATCTGGGAGCGTAAAAATGTCCAGATCTTGTCTGAGGGACGCTACAAGCTCGCAGAAGAGGGAAAAGCTTACCTGCTGACCATTACTGGAGTGACCCAGCAGGATGCTGGCCAGTACATATGCAAGGCTAGAAATAGCATAGGTGAAACGTACGCAGCAGCTTCCCTCAAAGTGGAAGGAGAGGCACAGCAGCAGGAAGGAGGGCAGAGGCAGCTAGAGGTCAATGGAGGACACCTGAATGGCTACTGTGAAGTGCAAAATGGTGAACACAGGGCAGAAAATGGAGCTGAGATAAATGGAGAACATAAGTGTAATGGAAAGTTTAGTGAAAAGCGAGAAGAAGCTGATTTAATATCTGATGATAAGCCTCGATTCCTCATCAAGCCCCTCTCTCTGCGCGTGGACAGAGGAGAAGATGCTGCCTTCTCTTGCAAAATCTGGGGCACTCCCGTACCAGAGGTGACGTGGGAGAAAGATGGGAAGAAGCTGCACGACATCTTCGAAAGTTCACACTTCAGCGTGAGCAACCAGGACGGTGGCTGGTTCCAGCTCAAGATCTACAGGACGCGCATGCCAGACAAAGGCGTTTACACCTGCAAGGCCATCAACTGCCACGGCGAGGCCTTGGCCGGTGCCGTCCTCCTTGTGGAGCCCGTACCGGAGCGGGAGGAGAGCAAAAAGTCCTCAAGTGGTCACACTAACAGCCAGTGGTCGCCAAAGCAAAGAGGTGGGCGACTCAGCTTGTCGAGGCTCAAAGAGGAGGCCCCCGTCAACCCGTCTGCAGTCAAGAAGTTCGCAGTGGCCGAGGGGAAACACGCCAAATTCCGGTGCTTCGTGACTGGGAAGCCGAAACCCGAGATCCTCTGGAAGAAAAACGGGGTTCCCCTTGAGCCCGGGAGGCGTCACCTGATATTTGAGGACAGGGAGGGGTACTACACGCTGAAGGTCCTGTACTGCAAAGAGCAGGACACAGGGCTTTACATCTGTGCAGCATCGAACGCTCTGGGAAACACCCTCAGTGCTGTTCACCTGTCTGTCAAAGGTAAGAGAGACTTCGACAAGCACAAACCTGCTTCTAATGCCGGATTTCTGAATGTTACTTTATTGTTAAAATGGATTATATCAGCGTCCACAATACAAACAGATTGGTGGATGGATGGAAAACCGATGCACAAGACCAAGTAACACAACATATTTCAAGAGATTCTGCACCAGCGTCACTCGTAAACCTTTTACAATAATAACCAATGGTTATAAAGAAGCGTCATGTGTCACTCATGCTTTTGTTTGGATGATTGCTTCCCCTGCATTGTTGAAATATACGGCATCGCCCCTTTAAGTAGTTAATCATTTTGTCCTGATCCCTTCGTAATGGGCAGATAATTCTCAGGGTCACACATCGCACTGTGCCAGCTGCCTCTATCACAAGCTTAGGGTCAACGTGTCAGTCTTTAATATACGGATAATACAGGGTGGCGTTACAGCAACTGAGAATTGCTTCGTAATTGTTAAGCAGAGACATGAGAAACGCAAGCAAACTGAGGAAGTTGAAATAAATGGGAATAGTTATACGTCAAAATTACAGATGATTTATCTCATTTAATACATAAATATCAAAACAATGTAATTAGCTTGATAGAAAACTGTTATTTTAAATTACGAGTTTGGACATCTAGCTAGAAATGAGCTATTAACTACTATCGTTAAAGATCCAGTGTGTAAGATTTAGATGAAAGGGATCTATTGGCAGAAATAAAATAATCCAAGTGAGGTTTTCACCAGCGTTTCATCTAAATTGTACAAATTTTTGTTTTCTTTACCCTGGAATAGACCCTTTATATTAAAATGCTTTGTATTTGAGTTGTAGTTTGTTGTGTATCAAAAAATACAAAATCTTCCATCATTACCGTTTTCCCTTGTTCTCCAGGCCACGCTGTTCGCTTCAGGCGTTCATTAAAAGACGTGGAGGTGAGGGAGCGGGACGTTGCCGTGCTGGAGTGCGAGATGCCCGACGAGTCGCTCCCTGCCGCCTGGTACCTGGAGGACCAGAGGCTGATGCCCAGCAGTAAATACGGGATGGAGCAGAAAGGAACCAGAAGAAGACTCACCATCCATGACATCGGGACAGATGATGACGGCGTGTATCTGTGTGAGAGGCCTGATGGAGCAAAGAGCATCGCAGAGCTGTCAGTTAAAGGTACGATGAGCCCAGTGTAGAAATACAGTATTTAGTATGAGTAAAAAGTAAATTATTATGTGCAATGCTTTTACACTATACTCATAATAATTAGTAAGAGAAAAATGTGTCAGTTTGATGTAAACATGTGCATCTACAGTGGAGAGGAAATGAAATAAAATAAATTAAATTTTGTCTGCTCACAGGTACTATTGTTCGTAAACTTCCTCGGAAGATGGAGGTCCTCGAGGGCGAGAATGCAGCGTTCTGCGTGGAGGTGGAGGACGATGAGTTGGAGGTCCACTGGTTCAAAGACGGCCTGAAGCTGCATGAGACACACCAGACGATCCTCAAGACTTTCGGCAAAACGCACATTCTGGTCTTCGTCAACGTGGCCCACCATGACTCAGGGGTGGTGACGTTTGTCACAGGGAGATCCAAGACATCGTCACGCCTCAAAGTCAAAGGTACTTGTAGGAAACAACAATTCCTTTGCCTCATGGTTTTCTGGTTCATCAAATATTGTTTTCATTTCATTCTCGTAGACAGCTAGAATTGCCATACTGCATTTTACAGCTGTAGAACTTACAGAAATAGAAAAAGAGTGATATCCTATGTGACTTTTAGTCGACTGGTCCTTGCCAATGACTCTTGGTAAACCTTTGAATTTACAAAACAAAGTTAGAAGGATGATGTTTAGCCTGCTGACCTTTGGGGTCAATTTTTTATCCAGTTTTGAGACCTGATGTGTAAAAGAAACCAAAACTAGAATGAAACACAGTAAATCTAAGGCCCAAACTTTCTCTGACATTCAATCAAGTCACACTCATGGATATCAATCACCTAAAATATGCCAGATTTTTTCATCAAGATCTCAAACACTTGGTTTCAGTTTTTGAACGTCTAGATTATGAGCTTTAGTTCTTAAAATCTGAAGCTAGACTTAAAGAGATTCCCTCATGGCCTGTCATCATCCTCCTCTCTGTCCTTTAGCCTCCAGACACTGTCCTCCTATCGGCCCTGGGAGCGTCAAGATGGATGTAGATCGACCCAACAGCGCCCTTCTCTCCTGGGTTCCTTCCCCCAACAGCCAGACGTCCACCCGCTCCATCTTCGTGCTGGAGAGACAAGAGGTGGGCTCCCAGGAGTGGCAGAAGTGCTTCACCTCGGAGAGCGCCACCTCAGCTGAGGTCGCCGGTGACAGCGTGCCGTGTGAGGGCGACTACCGCTTCCGCGTCTGTTGCATTAACAAGTACGGGCGGAGTGGTCACGTGGAGTTTCCCAAAGTCGTCCATCTGGGTGAGGGAGTATGCGTTATTGTGTGTGTTGATGTTAACCTGAAGAGCATAAAGAGCCTGATCAATGCACAGTATCACTGAGTGGAACTTATTGGCTCATAGTATTTCCATGTTTTTGTTTCTTTGACAAAGCACAGGAAAGGGAAAAAAAACCCACATAATTCTTATCAACTTTTTCCGTTTCCTCTTTTTCCATTTTCCTTAGTGCCTGGGCCCAAAATTCACAGTCACCTCCAGAGCTGTGAGGTTGTAGAGGGAGAAGACGCTCGCTTCTCCATCGAACTGTCTGCCTCCATGGTTGGAACCTGGTTTCTGAACAGCGCCCAACTGCAGCACGGCGGACGGTACTCGATACAACAGTCCCAAACACAGCACTCGTTGGTTATCCATGACACTCACACGACAGAGGACACAGCAGAGGTCACGTTCATAGCCAACGGAGTCCGCGATTCAGCTGTGCTTAATGTTAAACGTACGTGTTAAAATCTGTTCATCTTGCCAAATAGTGGAATAATGATTTTGAGTATGTTTAATGTATATTTTCACTTCTTTGCAGCTGCTGTGATCAAATTCACCCCTCTGTCAGAATCAGACAGCAGTAAGACAGTAGAGACAGGTGACGCTATTGTTCTCTACTGTGAGGTCTCCCACCCCTTTGCGAAGGTATCCTGGTTTAAAGATGGCGAGGAGCTCCAGGCGACCGACAGCCTCACCATCCAATCAGATGGGAACATGAGAAGGGTTGTGATCCAATCGGCTGACGCGTGTCACTCTGGAGTTTACACATGTGAGACTTCAGGGGACGTCATCAAATTCAATGTGGACGTTGCAGGTAAAAGACACTGGAATAACAAGTTGACACTTCTAGTACCTCAGGTTTCAGCTGTTGACGTCCTTCCCTCGCTGCTCCTGTCTGTCCAGGTCCTCCTGTAGAGTTTGGTCCGGTCCCACAGGAGGAGCTCCATAAGAGCAGCATGGAGCTGGACCCTGTGGTGCTGCTCTGCCACGTCTCCAGGGAGGATGCAGATGTCAAGTGGTAAAGTGCTGCAAGAGACATGGCGAAGAAATATTTCAAATATAGCTTTGAATGATTCTGTTTTTTTATGTTTGCATTCAGAGGCTTTACACAAATGACATCACAGGGATCAAAATATGAATTCCTTATTCATCAAACACTGATTTGGTTCAAATCTGAGTTTAACGTGTTTTGGTTCATTTGTGGCTCTTCTGCTTTTTACTGTTTGTGCATAATCCACCCATTATAATGCACTTAAGTGTCAGAAGAAATTAGAAAAAAAAAAATTAGAAAATTTGACTAAATCACAGTATTAACTCTTTACATTTGTTTCCATGAAGTCTGTAATTTGACCCAATGGTTTTTGTTAAATCTGTGTCCCAGGTATAAGGATGGCCATGAGATCCTGCCCAGTGACAACATCACTCTGCAGGCAGAAGGAACGGTGAGGAGGTTAATAATCCGCTCTGCAGACTCCTCAGACGCTGGCAGCTACACCTGCCAGGCAGGAAACAAGAGCATGGAGTTCACCGTCAATGTCAGAGGTACTGGGACATGTCTGACTCCTGTAGAAGATGCTTGAAACAAAGATCCATTCCTGAAATTAAGATGAGACTTAAAATGTTAGCTGTAATGCAAACATGAACTGACCTAAAGATGCTTCACAGAGCCTCCGGTGATGATTGTGGAACCTAAGGATGACGTTGTGATGGAAAGCTACATCTCAGAGGAGATCCACCTGCAGTGTGAACTGTCCCGTTCTGGCGGTAAGGTGCAGTGGTTCAAGGACGGCCAGGAGGTGGAGGCGAGCAACCACATCCAGCTGCTCTCTGAGGGTCCGTACAGGAGGCTGACCGTCCTCTGTGGGTCAGTAGAAGATGGAGGAGAGTACGTGTGCAAAACAGACGGAGACTCTGTTTTCTTTCAGCTTACTGTCACAGGTTTGTTTGCACTCACTTCTGCGATATTCACGTTTGTGAGATTAAAAGGTCAAAAAAGTTTCTCTTATTTTTCTCCCTGTTCAGAGCCGCCCGTCCGAATTGTCTTACCAACTCAACCAGAGCTGGAACTGAGCCATTTGGCCCCCGAGAGGCTGGAGCTCAGCTGTGAGATCTCGCAGTCAGATGCCCCTGTCCGGTGGTACAGAGACGGACTAGAGGTAGACGAGGGCCCTAACTTGATCCTTGAGGTGGACGGGGCACAACGCCGGCTTGTTATACCCATGACCACTGTGGAGGACACAGGGGAGTACATATGTGACACTGAAGACGACTCTGTGGTGTTCCTAGTTACTATTACAGGTAAGAATGAGGACATAAAGTTGATTATTTAGCAAATTAAACAGAATGTATAGAATTTCAATAGCATTTGTATCATTTATGTGTCTTTCCTCTTTTATTAAGAGTCACTCGTGACACTCACTCGTCCCGAGAACACACCTGACACACTGGAGAGTTCTGCTGGTAAACCCATTGTGATGGAGATCAACGTGTCCCGGCCAAATGCAGACGTCAGGTGGTGGCTGGATGGCAAAGAAATAGAGGAGAGCAATAACGTCACCATCACAGAGGACGGGCTTGTCCGTCGACTGACCATCCACGCTCCGACCCCGAAGGATTCTGGAAAATACACCTGCAACGCTGTTGATGATGAAATTGATTTCCACGTCAAAGTTTCAGGTAAGAGGCAAACGATTAATTCAGAGATGATGCAGAGCACATAACTTGAAAAAAAACAAACAAACATATTCAGTGTCACTATTTAATTCTGCATCCTCAGAGCCTCCGGTGATGATCTTAAGAAAATCAGAGATAAAGACAAATCTAAAATCCCTGATTTCTGACGACATTGTGCTGGAGTGTGAACTCTCCAGAGCCAACGCTGTCGCCAAATGGTACAAGGACAACTGTCGGATTGAGGGCGATGAAAGGTACTGTGAAGAAGAAGAAGGTGCTTTCCGCTCGCTGGTCATCCTCAACGCTGAGCTCAGAGACTGCGGAGAGTACTTCCTGGATGTTGGAGATGACAACATCACCTTCCAGGTTACAGTAGAAGGTAAAATCCCTTTAGAAGATTTTATTGTTGACAAAAATTCTCACTTGAATCACCTGTCTTCCTCCTCGTAGAGCCTCCAGTGGCCATTATCGGAAATTCAATTGACCCTGACTTCCAGGAGATGGTGGCAGGGGATGATCTGATCCTGGCCTGTGAGGTGTCCCGGGCCAATGCCCCCGTCCAGTGGTACTGCAACGACAAGCTGCTCACCTCTGACCCGCGCACTTACATCGAGAGCTACGGGACTCTGAGGAAAATCATCATCTCAAATGTGCAGCCCTCAGATTCTGGAAAGTACGTGTGCGACGCCGTGGGTGACAAGATGATCAGTGTCATCAGGATTCAAGGTACAGACGCAGGGTGTAGGGTCTCAAGCGTCCCTGAATAATCAGATTAAATAAGTCACGTCATATTCTTTTCTCTTTTTACGTTAAAGAACCTCCGGTAACGTTCGTGAACAAGGAGGATGACATTGTCGTGACGTCTTACGAAGCAGAGAGCGTGACCTTGACGAGTTACGTGTCCAAGGAAAGTGCTCAAGTGCGTTGGATGAAAGACTGGACGCTTGTTGAAGGCGAACGCTTCCGAGCACTCGTGGAGGGCCACAAACGCACCCTCACCATTGAGCCTCTGAGGCGCTCTGATGCGGGAGAGTACACATGTGACGTCAACACGGATCAGATCAACTTCAGCCTGCTGGTCAAAGGTTCAAATTTCAGTTTCTTTTTGTCACTGGACATCGAACACTTCCGAGTGGATTGAAAAGTAATATATATTTTGCTGCGTTGCAGAAATGAGAATCAGGTTTGTGAGGCCACTGCAGGACACCGTGGCTCACGCTGATGGAATGGTGACCCTTCGCTGTGAGGTGTGCAAGCCAAAAGCAGACGTGCAGTGGCTAAAGAATGGCGTGGAGGTGGTTCCGAGCAGGAGGTTCTCCATTCGGGCGGACGGCGTCGAGCGAAGCTTGACCATCCATAGATTAACCAGAGAGGATGCTGGGGAGTACATCTGTGAGTCCAGAGATGACCGGACCACGGCGTCGCTCAGAGTAGAGAGTGAGTATGACCAGACTCAAATTTTCCGTCTTTTCTTATGTATAGTAGCAGTTTGATGAACTTTCTTGCATCTCTTCAGTGCCTCGTGTGGTGGAGTTCCTCACAGAGCTCCACAACACCACCGTGCTGGAAGGAGAAGATGCCACTTTCAAGTGCGTGGTTTCCCCAGAGGATGTCCAGTTGCTGTGGCTCATGGACAACGAGACGATAACACTGGGCGATCGTTTCCAGGCGACCCAGAATGGCCTTTGCCACACCTTGGTGATTAAGAAGTGCCAGATATTGGACTGTTCAAGGATTTCAGCAGAGGCTGAGGGACAATTGAGCAAAGCCAGCCTCAAAGTTCAGGGTAGGAGGATAAAATGAGCAGAAAAGAGAAAATGGTTAGGAGAGTGATCAGCAGCTCATCATAACTTATCATCTCTGTCTCTCGTCTTTATCTTCAGAGGCTCAGGTCATGTTTACGAAGAGAATGGAGGCTGTCATGGCAGAAGAGCTTGGCGACGCCACCTTGGAAACGGAGATCAGCCTGGAGACGGGCGAGGTTCAGTGGATGAGGCAGGGGGTGGTCATACAGCCCGGTCCTCGACACACGCTCGCCCAGAACGGCTGCAAACGCAGTCTGACCATCTGCAACCTGAATCTGTCGGACCGGGGAACCTACCGCTGCGAGACCCTACATGACCGCACACAGGTCAAGCTCAATGTGGAACGTAAGTGGAGTGAGAAGAAGCTGAGGCCACTTTGTAACTGACATCTCATCTGACACAGACTGAGTTCTGGGCAGCGGAACAGTACATGTTGTATTATGCTATTCACACTATGTCACGCACAAGGAGATACTAGGAAGAGCAGGACCTCTATGTGTGAAAAGGTTTTTTTAAACAGGGCCATGCTGTTATACAATAGTGCACTGAATGACACCATGGAGCTACTGTAGGAGTTGTTTTTGTAATGTGATAAACTGAGCCGGGTCTATATTTGAAGCACTCTTTGTTGTCCTTGAATCACAGCATTCGTTCAATGTGAAACAGATGCATCCTCTAGATTTCTTTTCTCCCTGCAATCCAGTTGCTATGCTTAAATCCTGATATCAGTATATAACTCTGTATTTACACTCCACTTGCTGCACTACTCTTCCTCATCTCTTCCAATCCAGCTCGTAAAATCGTCATCCGCAAAGTCCTAGCTGACCAAGAGACCTTTGAACGAGAGACCGCCTCCTTCGAGGTGGAGCTCTCCCACACGGACGTGGAGGGCATTTGGCAGAAGGACGGCATTCGCGTGAAACCAAACAACCAGTGGCGCGTGAGCACCAATGGGCTCGTCCACAGCCTCACCCTGTCCAACCTCACCCTGGAGGACACGGGCACCATCGCTTTCTCTGCTGAGGGGGTGCGCACCACTGCCAGGCTCACAATCAAAGGTATGGACAGAGTCAAATAACCATGACTGACTGAGGAAAGTCTTCATTTGTTGATTCACTGAATGATTGAGTTGACTGACCGCATTGACAGAGACGCCGGTGTCTATCATGAGAGCGCTGGCTGATGTCCGTGTGGAGGAGGAATTTCCTGCCACTCTCGAGTGTGAATTGTCCCGGCCAAACGTTGAAGTCCGATGGCTCAAGGTAACACAAACCCACAAATCTTGTCATTGCACTTGGACATATTTTGGCTGATTGTACAAAAAAAGTATAAGGTTTGAGACTCACAAGGAATATCTTTATCTTTCTTGTCCTGTGCATCAGAACGGGGCAGAGCTGAAGCCAGGGAAGAACTGTCGGATCTATCCGATGGGTCGGAAGCGGTTCTGTCAGATCTTGCAGTGCTCCTGCGCTGACTCTGGCACCTACACGTGTGATACGGGGGAAATTAATACTTCCTGTTCACTGGAGGTTTATGGTAACTGCCTGAGCAGATATTACCACAGCACACATCCCTTTAAAACATTGATGTTCATGATGAGTTGTGAAGCCAGTAATTTACCTGTAGCTGACTGTGCTCTGGCTCCATCTAGTGGTTAAAAGGAGATGATTCTTGACATCTTTCTGTATCCCTGATGTAAATCTTAGAGCATAAGTTGGAAATAGTGCAGGACCTGGAGGATATTTACATCCAGGAGGACCAGAATGCCGTCTTCATGTGCGAGGTTTCTCTGGAGGACGTGACGGGAGAGTGGTACAAGGACAGCCACAAGATCCGGCCCACCAGCACCATCAAGATCCGCACTGAAGGTCAGGAACTGATTGATTGTTATTCTGATAAAACACGAGAAACAATACCCACAATAAATTAGCACAGATTGCAATTGACTGGGAAACATGTGTGTGTGTGTGCATATGATGTGAGGGAGAAGTGTGGAGTCTCTGAGATTTGTCTAAACCTTTTTATTTTCTCTTTAAAACTGGAATAATGGAAGTTATTGTTTTCGTTCTATGGACATTTTGAGATTGGTGGGATTGAACTGGGAAAGAAAGCTTTTAGGGTTTTTCGGAATAATTTACAGACTCATTTTCAGCTTCAAAACATAGTAATATTAAACAAGTCCAGATTGTCTTTGTGCAAGTGTTTTATATGAAGTTTTGTGGCTCTTAATTTATGTGTTAA